ATTATTTAACCTTAAGTAGCTGTAGCTACATATACAAAAACATAGCATATATTTAGAAATAAAGAAAAAATGTTATTTTACAGCATGATATAGAGTTAATATTTCCAAGAAATAAACGACACAAATATGTTACAGAAAATAAAATCTAGTAGACATATAAGCAAATGTCACTAGCAAAATATTGCACGTTACAGTAGTCAGCATGTTGGCTTTCCAATCAGAGAAGGCTGTTGAAATGTTGGCATTTCACTTATGGACACCTGCAACTTGTATTTGAAAATCCTTATTAATTATTAATTTTATTATTATTTAATACAATCCAAAAGCATGCTAGGCATTTGACATAATCTTAATTTCTAAAGAAAATAATTCCAAAGATTTTTTCCTTCTATTGTCTTTAGTTTGCTTTTTTTTTTTTTAATAGCTATTTCAAAAGTCTGAACACAGTTTTTTAGTCATGGGAATTTCGTCTGCAGATTGAGATTTACATTCTTAAAAGATGTTGTAGCCACATTTTGAGAGTCTTTTAAAACCTTTAAAGTACTCTTTAGTGCAGGATAATATGACTTTAAATATTTGAGCAGAAGAAGAAGATACAGTTAAAAGCTGTGGATAGTTTGCAAAACAATTATGTTTATGTATCAGTAACACCTCTTGGCATGTTTACTGAACTGTTTCCAGTTAATCTATTCACCTCAGAAAAGAGCTGAACAAATAAACAATTCCACATGCCTTTTAAAATGTGGAATGAGGTTCCCAGATGAGTCCTTTTTAAATAGTCTAAATTAAGCCAATTTTATGTGACAAATTAAATTAACTGTAGACTGCCAACAGTTAAAATATACTAACACATGCAGAAGAAAAATAGAAAATCCTCAGATTCTCTGAAGTTTCCCTAAATATATGTGCCTTCATTCTGACTATGCCTGACCATATGTGTTTGCTCTTGGTATAGATGATATGTAACATTTTTGGTGGAGCACAGGTGATCTGAGATGCTTTCATTTAATCCGTGGATCTGTTTGTGGTTAATGTAACTAGAAAATAACAAAAATGTAGCAAGCATTAACTATTTGGTTTGATTTGACCCTTGTTCCATACACAGAAGTCCCATGTTTTTGCGTACGGAAATTTTTCAGGATTTGATATAAATAAGTGTTTGAGAGCTAGGAACGGAGAGGAACACTTTATCTATTTTATTCTCTATGCAAAGGGTTATCTAACTGTTAGAGGACCACTTAGGGATCTAATTAACTGTTCATTTCCTGTTTTTTAGTGGTTTGAGTGTTATTGAACTCGAGGTTCTGGAAGGCCATGAGATACCACAAGGCAACCATAGCTCTGCATTAATTAAGGGTTTTTTTGGTTAGCGAATCTAAGCATCAGGTTTAAAATTCCAAGAACTACAAATTTCACATCCAGAAGGATCAGCTCAGCTCTTGGAAGGATGAAGATCTTTCCAAACTGGAAAAATTGGCTTCCATTCTATGGGCGATACCTTTTGGAGGAGACTTTACACGTGGAGTCCTGTTTCCTCAGTACTTTATTACAGGGAGTTGGTAGCGGCTCTATAGTTAAGGTAGTTTCCTACTATAAATCTATTTTTCAACCCTCCTCAAATCCCGTCCCCTCCCCGACAAAACTGGTCAATTCCTGACTCCACTGAAGTCAATTGCAAAACTCCCATTGACTTCAATAGGGCCAGATTTCACCGTATTTTCCTAAAATTTCACATGCCACAACTCCTGCCAGAATTTTTCCAGGAAGTTGGGAATCAAAAATAATAAATGAGTTTTAAAAATACAATATTTTTTAAGAAATTCCCTGCACTTAATTTTTTGAAAACATTCATTTTTTTCATTTTAAAATGTATTTAATTCATTTATGTATGTTTTGACTCATTCTATCTCCAAATGGTCTTGGTCTAAAGACTCCAGATGTGTTGGCTTGCTGGCCATACTGAGGTTAGCGGCCTGTTAATAGGTTTAGGTACATTTAGTAGGGAAATTACCAAGTTTAGCTATCAAGGCATATTGAGAGCTTTAGGTGGGTTGTATGTACCCATCACTAAAGTAGGCAACAAAGAAGATTGACTAGAGCAGGGGTTCTCAACGTTTTTCTGTCTGAGCTTCCCCCACATGCTATAAAAACTCCATGGCCCGCCTGTGCCACAACTGTTTTTCACCGTATAAAAGCCAGGTCCAGTGTCAGGGGGTAGCAAACAGGGCAATTGCCGGGGGCCCTGTGCCATAGATAGCCCTGCGAAGCTAAGTTGCTCAGGCTTTGGCTTCCGTCCCAGGTGGCAGGGCATTTCAGCCTCGCACAGAGTCTTCAGCTTTCTGCCCTGGCCTCAGTGAGTCTAACGTCTGCCCAGCTTGGTGAACCTTTTGAAACCTGCTTGCAGGCCACCTGAATCCCTGTTTGAGAACCGGCCACTGGACTAAGGGATCATTAAAGGAGGGATATAGAGAAGAGGCACAGAAAAGATCTCTGTCCTTTGCCCAGCCAGGAAACTTTGCTGCCCAGAAGAGGCTGCAATAGGAACTGGAAGATAACCTTGTTACTGGGCTTCATCTAAAGAGACTTTGTAAATTAAGGACTGGTTGTTTTCCCCCAACTTTAGCCCCCCTGAGTAAGCCATCCTCTCTCTGCCACTGTGCACTACACCTTTTAAAAGCTAAACTTGTTAAAAAGTCTGGAAACTGAGCAGTAAAGGGATTCAGTCAGTGCCCTAATCCCATCTATTGTTTCCTTTATGGCCCACTTGATTTAGAGGAAATTATTTGCAGAAGTAACATTGTGCCATGTATCTAATTGCAAAGGTTCCATTTTAGTTGTTGCTATATTTTTTCCCCCTTACTAACGTAATGGTGATTGCATGCTATCCCACAGGCTCATATGACATTTAAAATAGGATGATAGTGACTGTCTGAACTTGGTCAGAATTAAATTTGAAAGCCAAGTAAAATAAAAGGTAATTGGAGAAACAGGCTGAGAGAGGTTGTTTTGCCCATTCACAGTGAATCAGTAGCAGAATCTGGACTAGAGGCCGAATCTCCTAGCTCCCAGTGCCCTAATCCTTGACAGAGGTGCCAGAATATGTGCTCCCGCTCCCCGCCTCATTTGGAAAATGTCAATGAAAAGAAAAATAATTGTTAAATTCCCAAGTTTTTGTTTAAAATTCCTCAAAGGCTTTGGTTTTCTGATTTAAAATTTTTAGGAAAGCAGGTACTTCTTGTGGAACTTTTCATTGACTTGAAAACCTAGCTTTTCCACTTAAACAAACAAACAAAAGCTGATGGAATTTTTTTGACCAGCCATAATCACTAAATCACACTTCCACCTACATGCAGGAAACATAATTAGAACATGTTGAAGCTGATGATGTTAGCATGCCCCTTATATAGTAACGAGGGGGAATTACCTCCTAAATTACAGTTGCCAGGGTCAGCTTTATGTGCTAGACAAAGTCCAAACACACAGTTTTCCAGTTTGCAGAAGTTCTTACCTTTCTGCACAAAGGAAACTAATGCTAGAAGAAGTCATTCCACCTGGCATCACGGGGTTAATAGAAAAATGTGGTCTGTGGAGTGCGGTCTTTTTAAAGCAGGGGTCCGGTAATTTGGACAATGTTGTCTTCCCAGCTTGGCTGCTTTGTAATGTTGGGCAAACATTTAACTTCTCTGTGCCTCATGTTGCCCACTTATAAAATGCGGGAGCAAAATACTATTCACAAGATTTGCTGTGAGGACTGATAAATCTTTGCAAAGTGTTTTGAGATAATCAGATGGAAGGAACAAGTGCAAAGAATGTTCGTTACTAATATCTGTGGTTCAGCTTTCCATTACTAATGTGGAGGCTCAATTTTGAAATTTACAACCTGGATCTCAAGCTGGACATTTTTATATAACCTTCTGAGGTCCCTTCCAACCCTGATATTCTATGATTCTATGATATGCTGTTACAGCAAGCTTATATGTGCAGTGCTGAAAATCCAGACCAAAATATTAAGACACATTTATAACAGATATATGATCAGCGTTGCATGGGGCTGTGTTGTTTTCCCATGAAAAAACGATTGTATTCAAAACTTTCTAAAGACAGAAGGAATCGTACTGGCTATTTGCTCTTTTTCAGTTCAGTCATTACTGTAGAACAGTATTTTAGGATGTGTTCAGTCATTCTAGTGTATTTTGTCCTCTCTGCACAAATGTAAACTCATATTACTTAACACTTGTACATCAAGGGGATAATCTGCCCATAGGTTGTATTTGAACAGTTCCATAAATCATATATTTGTCTTCTACTACACCGCACAGACATTTGTATGGCTTCCCTCTTTTGAATAAGGAAAAGGAGTACTTGTGGCACCTTAGAGACTAACACATTTATTTGAGCATAAGCTTTCGTGAACTACAGCTCACTTCATTGGATGCATCCGATGAAGTGAGCTGTAGCTCACGAAAGCTTATGCTCAAATAAATGTGTTAGTCTCTAAGGTGCCACAAGTCCTCCTTTTCTTTTTCCGGATACAGACTAACACGGCTGCTACTCTGAAACCTCTTTTGAATGAGATCCAAAATGAAGATGAGATGCAATCACTTGTGCTCATTAAAAATTCCATGGTAATTATGAAGGCAAATGGCCAATTAGACATCTAATAACCTGCCATTGTCATAAATGTTGCTTACCAGTACAGTATACTGTATCACTGTATAATTCTTTACTTACAGAAGAATGAGTCAAACCTAACTTCTTTAGACAGACACTCTCCTCCTCTCCTTGATAAAATAGAGTAGTATTTTTTCAGATAACTATGGATTGCATGTTAAAAATTAAGATTGTATGTTACAAAGTATCATGTTAGGAACTAATAAACAGAAATAGAGCATGCTTTAAACAGAGATTGTAGCAGATGCAGATATACATTCCATATACATTCTCACAGAAATGCGATGCCATTAAATAAAATACAGCAGAAGTAATAATCTAGTACTTACATTGACTTTCATCTTGTCTTTTCTCTATTATTCCATTACCTAAATGAGAACAATACACTCTCCCCTTCTCAAAGTGAAGTTCTTCAGCTCAGACTGAAGTACGGTAAGGTTTGGCTAGAAGCCTGGGTATTAGACTTTCAGCCTACACCTCCCAGTGCTGGACTTACTGTGAACCCTGCCGAGGGTGAAGTGAACAGCCACTGGGAATGAATGGAACTAATTACATAGTAAATTCTCTCTAACGTTACATGGCCTGCAGCTATGTTCATGCAAAAGAAGGAATGGCACTCGGTCAAGCCTCCAGGAAGAAAAGGCAGAAACCAAAATAGGAATTCTGATATCGTAGAGCTATAAGAACGTCACGTGGACACTGCAGTGAAGCTAAGACAGAGTGATTTGAGTGCATTTGGGGGCTTTTTCCCAAGGTAGTATCAGTTCTTCTTCCTCCTCGATTTGTATTTAAAAATACTTCGATTTTGAATTTTTCATGTTCAGGTCACTAGAAATGTCATGGCTCAGCAAGACCTTTACAGCTATATAAAACACTGCAGAAAAACCACATATTTTAAAAGCAGAGAATCTGAGAGACCAATGCAGAACAGTTCACGGTTAACATCTTCTGTTTTGTACAATTTTCAAAGGTTCCTTTATACAGAAATTATCTTGCCTCCATTCTGTTCCTTCCTCTTTCTACAGTAAGCATGTTCACTCTCTCTCCCCAAAACACTTTTATAATGAAAAACTGTGCCCGTGTCTTGCAGGGGGCAACAGTTGGATTTTTGTATTTTTCTCTCTAAATTTTAACCTTTTGCACTTGAAGTTGACTTGGTAATGCAGAAACATCCAACCAACCTTTCTAGTCATGCAAAATATCTGGTACAATGAAGCTCACTTGCAACAAATTCTGATCCTTTTCATGTGACAGGCATTGGTATTATCAGTTGTGAACGTGCAAGAAGACAATTCAGCCTAGAGAAATTGCACAAATGTACCACCACAGACCATAGAATTTTTAAAACTATATTTTAGAAACAACAATGCAATCTGTTGCCACAGAGCTGCTCTAAAGGTGGCATAATTGACCACAGGAAGACAATGCCGACTTCAATAACATAGAGCATGCATAAGGCCTACGCTACTCCACAGCTCCCTCCTATACTAGAGGGTCAGGGGATGGGATTTAGAGAAAGAGAGCATGGCTGCGGATTCCATAACGCACATCTGACTCCTGTTCCCCAAAGCTCTTGACAAGTACTGTAAGTTAGGCTATTCTAACTTGCTGCTGGTGGCTGACTAGCACATAGCCAACTCAGGCACCGGATAGCTTAAAATCCTTGCACAATGCACAGCAGAGCCTGGGAGGTTGCTGTGGTTGCAAGGTGAGAGCATGCAACTAAAATTCTAAGCGCTAGGTGTTCTCCTCTGCAAGCTTGATCACTTACTTGCAAGTATGCAATTAAAAAAAGTATGCGCATGTACTGAGCATTTGTTAATGAGAGAAATTTAAGAGTAAGCTTAAGCGTGTCTGACAGGAGCTTAGCTATCTGCATCTTTTTGTTCTCACTTCATGCTGCTGCTAGACAGGATCAACTTGCCAGCCACCCACCAGAACTCATTACTATAGGACGGGGCCCTGTGCACATGCTGTCTCCCTGCCCAACACTTTTTACTTTGTGCATATGCACATAGGACGCTGCACCTGCACACTGTACAATCAGCCCTCAACGCATATCCAAAAACATTATAACATGTCCACAGAGCATGAGAATGCACTGGATTCCATTACAGAAGCAGTTTGTCCTGCAAAGGTTGGGGGAGAGGGGGCAAAAGTTGCTAATGATTAGCTGTGGCAATAACACTCATAGACCCTGGAGCTGGGGGCAGACGAGGTATCCAGGACATGGCCTTACCACTCTTTGGTCACAATACCACTTGCTCACATTTGGAGGGGGTGGGTGTAGGGGTTCATGGGCAGGGGAAGTGCCAGGAAGCTGGTGAGGAAGGGGGCTAAGAGGGGAAGAGGAGGGTCAGAGAGAGATGCAAATCTACCCCCCCCCCACACACACATTTAAATGATGCTCAGGAGCCCATGTTAACACTACTGTTTAGTTCTTTCATCATAATGGGAATTTCTGCACAGCCACAGCTGACAGCCACTGTGCTCCAGCTATAACAGGACTCAGTTTTTGCCCACCGATCTTGCCAAAGTGTTGCTATCACAGAGTAAACTATAAAAAATGATGTAAGGCCATTAACATGACATTGCCCGAGAGCCGCTGGGATAATGGGAACCAATAGGTCATTTAGCATGTTGCATCAGAAACTTGAATGGTTTCCTGACTTCTTACCATACTTCATCTCCATGAGATATGTGTATTTGTAGAAGGGCAGTGCTCAGAATTTACAAGTCAGCTTGATATTGCTAAATTCAGTCAGCCACTGCTAAACTATTTTGACTTCTGTGACCAAAATATCATACCTGGAAATTTGCTAAATTGAAAATAAAAGCATTAGGAGCCAAAGAGAGGGGTAATAAGATAACTTTTTAAAATATGAGTTTCAAAACATAAATGGATCAAGTTTTCTTGTCAGTAATAGAGAGGAATATGTGTCCCATTGTCTTCTGATGAACTTAACATGGAATAAGAGAGGTCAATTTTTTCAAACAGACCGTGACAGAAAACTGAACACAGTAAATGTTCCATGTAACTCCTATCAGGTGCTTTTCCTTACATTTCTGGTATCGAACTCCAACCCCCCCCAAATCATATTTACATGATCAAGGTCATGAACATTACACTGGGAGCCAAGAACTCCAGCATTCTCTTTGACCCTGACATACACTGACACTTTCTGCAAGTTATTTATATTGCAGTCGGGCCCACATGTTGCTAGGTAGAGTACAAACGCATAGACAAGTTCTCTACTTTGAAAAGCTTATAAACCGATTTTGTAAGTCTAATAAAAAACCCTCCATAATTTAACTTGTTTTTTATCCTGCCTGTAAAATAGGGAACTAACTTATCTACCATACAAATGTGTTGTGTGGAGTGTTTAGTTAATAATAGTACATTATTATACCATCAAAGAGCTTTACAAAGCATTATGAGATAGTAATAAGAGAGGTGGTACCTTCAAGACAGAAGCTGGGGCTTACTTAATTTTTGTCAGTATAATTAACGCTTCTAAAATCTCTTAGGTTTCCTTTTATTCAGAGTTGCATCCAAGGAGAATTTCTTCAGACACCAATGCCAGTGCCACAGCCAGAAATACAACAGCAGAAATACAAGCAAACATCCGGTACCTTAGCATCCAAACCAAAAACTCCCTTTCCACAATTAGTTGGTAAAGATATAAAACATGCATGATACTAGAAGAGTTATTCTGAACTAAATATATCTATCTATCTATCAAATCACACTTACTTCAGCTCCTAATATTTTAAGTCATTAAATTCTGTTCTCATAAACCATCAACCTACCGTTGCAGATGTGTTGATTCTGCTATTTTTATCCATAGCTATCACCAAGCAGCCGTGCCACTTTGAATATTATAAATAATCACTGTATAACCAGTGTTATACAGAGCTCAGTTTTGCAAAGTCACAATGTGTCAGGAACTATTTCGCAAGAAAAAAAAAAAAAAGTCTGACAAGTATTGCCCTGAAAGCATTTAGCTATACAAAAGGTTTCCCATAGAAGTCAATTTCTGTGACAGCAGACAAGATTAAAACAAACAAAAAACCCTAACAGCGTCTACAACGAGAATAACTGTCTAAAAAGTGGAATTTTCCTTGATCTGTCTGTCATAGACTTGTTGCAAATAACCACAGATACAAAAAACCCACGCTTCTGCTTTGCTACATGTTCCTGTAGTTCCTAATTTAGAAGCTTGATGGAAGAACAGTTTACTACAAGTGTTTGCATAGCACTTTAATGAAATAACTGACTGCCACAATCCTATGAATTCAGGATTTCTATCCAACATTTTCCATATCTTGCAAAATTTTCTCACATTTATTACAACACAATTATTATAACTTTGTGTTGTAATAGCCTGTAAGCTCTATGGGGTAGGGAATTTGTGTTCTTACATACCTACAAGGCACCACCATACTACCATATGTGTTGTAAGGTACATTTTGTATGAAAGACACTGAAAAATTTAAGCAACTTTGACTCATCTCAGAAGACAAATTGATCAGTCTGGTCTCCTGTGATATTCCTCTACATTTTAAGAGGATGAGTGGTGGAGTATGACTCTCCCATCTAATTTACTCTCATCTGCTATCCAGCCACCTGGATTTTTTGTCTAACCCTTCGGGCTGGTGTCAACTAGGTGCAGCATCGGCACATAAAAAGCGTTGAGTTAGAATGCTTGAAAAGTATCTATTCAACTAAACAAGCTGAACAGAAAATTTCAGAAATCTTAGGAAAGTACAGTTACTTAAACTGCACTTCGATTTGTGTTGTCCATATGGATTCTACTTTTGGTGTGCATGTGCCATGTGAAAATGAGATCGAATTCATTTGGCCAGCAGTCTATATTTGGGCCACACCTGTGCCCTAGATACTCTGCATTCCTCCCCCCACAGGGGCCCAACTGTTCCTCAGTTCCCTTTACTAATACAGAATCCCACTGGTATAAGACTCTGTAGAAGCAGGAAAGGAAGGTGAGCCCCAGAATTCATGTGGACAACACTTCCTGAAGAACCAGTTACTGTAGGATAACCATTTTGCACCCGCTCCCCAGTGTCTGTAATGTCCACATGGATTCCATTCTTGGTGGCTAACGAACAGTCATCTATTTAAACAATGACTTCAGGACTAAATGGGCATCCAATTTGGAAGATTCTGCCAAAGAGTAGGGACTTGTAAAGGTCTGGATTGAGCCCCACATTGCTGTTCACAGATTTTTGAGACAGACATTTTTTGAACAGGCTACCTAAGCTCTAGCGCCGGGGTCTCAAAGTCCCATCCTGTGGGACATCTGCGGCCCGAGAACCTCCCCCACTGCGGCCCACAGAGGAGAGACGCATGCAGACAAGCTGCAGGCAATGTCTGCTACAGGAGCCACCCTCCACATCTCCTATTGGCTGGGAGACAGGGACAGAGATACTATCACTAATCACCAGGCAGAATCATCATCATTAGTTGCCGGGTAGAGACAGCCATAGAGGCAGTGTCGCTTTTTTCCCCCACAATGAATATAAACAAGTCAAAATATTGAACACGACTATCTGATGTCCACCTTGCTGCAATCCTGAAGGTTTCAACTGCTGTCACTGAGGGCAAACATCAACAAACTGACACAACTGAAGCGTTGCCAGGTGTCTGGCAAACACTAAAAACTCTCTGGCAGGTGAAGAATTGTATAAAGTTATATGAGTTTTATTATTTCTAAGAAATTCAAATAAATTATTTTCTTTTCTGAACACCATCTTCAGTGACATTATTGGCTCACTGAGAGGAATGGCCCTGACCCTAAGGTAAATTGAGTTTGAGATCCCTGTTCTAGTGGAATGAGCTCTAACCCTCGCTAATTTAGAATATATTCTGATGTAGTCAGAATCCCACTTAGAAAATCTCTGATAGTGAACTTCTTCACTTCTGCAAAGGCCCCAAATGGTCATGTTTGGCTTCAAAATTAGGCGCAAGCCAGACCTCTAAAGGGAAGTACAAAATGTCCCCCAAGAAGTGCTATGTAGCTCTTAGCACGTAAGCTTTTACATAAGGGCTTACCTACATTTACAATGCTGTAGCAGCTCAGCTGCAGCACTTAGTGAAGACGCTACCCATGCCGAGGGGAGAGCAATCATCAGGGGTCTGAATGGTTTTGTCCCATTAATGCAGAGAGTCTCTTACTACATTACATTTGTGAAGTTTAACTTCCCCTAGGGTTGAATGAGATTTTGGAAAAAATTGGGAGCTGAATGAACTAGAATACTAAAACAAATATGGGTAGGAACTTGAGAGTGACCCTATCCTTACAAAATGCCATATAATGAGGAGCTGATGGGGGGCCCCAAATCTTTCCTACTCTTTTAGCTGATGTAATAGCTATTAAAGAGGCAATCTTCATTGGTAGGTGGTTTAGGGGAGACCTATCAACCCTGTTAGAACGAGAGAGGACACTCATCAGCCTTGAGAAAAACATGAATCAGGGCCCTAAGGAATCTTGCCACTGCATGGAAGGAACAAAACATGGGGGTGGAAAGGCTGGTGGTGTGCAGATATTACTGCTAAACAGACTGTCGTAGAGCTGATAGAAAGTCCATCTTATTCTCCTAGCCATGAAACAGTCTGCTGATTTAGTAGGTAGAACCAGAGCACTCAGTAGGGCCATTACTGGCTTCTGGACTGTAAAAGATTAGCTTATGATTAGAGATGTGTAACAATCGTGTCTTGTTAGTCAGATGACAATATGGACTTTGGGACGCTGGGAGCCTGGTGTGGACTAGCTGTCTGTACACACCTTGTTGGTAGCTTATTAATATGTGTTGACCTAGTCTTTGAAATTGAACCAGATCAAAGCATATTAATGACTGTTAATGTATGCATTAGCACGATGCAGTTGGTCTAGGGTCTGTGATATTTTGTGTGTGTGTGTGTGTGTGTGTGTGTACATACGTACGTACAGATTCACACTTCAATATGCCACGAACAAGTTCACATATACAAGCCCTGAGCGATAAGAGACTACCTAAGTCAAACAAAGACCAAATGCATGCTATACAAATTACATACTACCCGACATTTGTAGTCATGTCTTGGCACTGATGGGTTCAGGTCAGCTTGCAAGCCTCTATTTGCTTCACAGTTACAGCAGTTAGTTAAGAGAAATTCAAATGAAGGTCAGCCACCAGATTTCAAGTCTGAGCTTTAATATCAGAACTAAAACATCATTTGTTGAATTCATCTAAACCATTTAAAAATGGATGTTCAAATTCTTATGGCACAAAATTCTGGCTCAGAGCTGGAGAGCCACTTGGCCAATTTTTTTTTTTTTTAAATGAATAAAAAGATACAAAACCAGAGCTTTCACTGCACAGTGCATGAATCAGAACTGAAATACAACTTAAAGCTTCTTTAAAATATCTGGCCAAGTTCTGCTGAGAATTTGTGTAATCCATTCTTTAAAAAAAAACAACAAACTTTAATAGGTTTGCACAGACGTAATGGAGAAATTCTATACAGATTGAGCAAGATTCACTTAAATTACTAACATTTTGAAAATTTAGACATGTAAGAGCAAGTTTAAAACTATCCCTGCAGGAAGGATTCATTGTATTCAAGGATAATGGTTGACTACTTACACAATTGATGCCATACACACCAATAAGGTCAGTGAGTGAGGGAAAACTCAATCTCAGTACTTTCATCTTTTCCCACCATGTTTGACAAAGTTAAATACAGACATAGCATGGCTCTTATTTAGGCATCTGTTGGCAGTACACTTAATAGAAGATGGTAATTAATCTAGATAATCACTGTTTTATGAAACTGTCTTTAGTCTGTGGTTGACCTTCGGTACCAAAATCGAGCTCTGTAGTCATCACTGCATGTCATGAAACCAGGATTGGTAGGAGAATGAACAATACACCGGACAATGCTGTTATGTCCCAATGACAGAAGATTTCGCCGTTCTGCAGTTCTTGAGTCCCAGCAGCAGAGACTTATGGTCCTTTCATCAGGCAGTAACACATAGTCCTCTGTGTGGTTAAAGACTGCCTGTGTTCTGTGTACTTGTCGTCCACTCAAACCAGCTCCTATAATAGCAGGGACATGATACTCATTAAAGGTGCAAGTAAAACATGTAACCTACAGTAGCCTTGCTTAGGGGGCAGATTGTCAAAAGCATAAGGAGTCTCTTTTAGATATTACTTGCTAACGACCATCAACAAGGGCCAGCTTTGTGTTCACCAATTAACAATTAGAAGGGTTCTTTGACAAAACTGTGCTCTAACATTTCTCCTCTCACCCTCACTGCAGAAAGGCTATTTGCTAAAACCTCAGTAGCACTAAGGGAAGCAGCAATAGTCACAGGCCTGAAGAATGACAATTACGATAGGGAAAATGCTCTTGCAAATTGTGCATTTATATATATATATGAAGCAACACACGCATGCACACCTCTGTGTAATGTAATAAAAAGATTAGTATTAGATGCTGAACACAGCTCAGATTTGAGAATCAGATCACTAAAGTTCATCAAAACTTGCTGAAACCACTACTGGACCATCAGAAGCCAGAGGACTGCAGAAAGAACTGTGAAATGAAGGCACAACTTCATATTATTTTTTAAATCTTTCTGGGCAGTTACATCAAATCCTGACTTAAGGAATACGAGATGAGTTTGGGAATAAGGAAGAAACTATTTATTTATGATGAATATTTACCATGGTGGGCAATTTCTACTCAAGGAGTATTTTAATAGGGACGCTGAACGTCTCGTGATCTGTCCAAGCTTACACAGCACCTACCCACTCTTTACCTGACTCAAAACCAACAGTATTAGTCCCTCATGTGCAGAAGCATTAAATTCAGATGCTCAATGAAAGTGTATGCTTATTTATAGAGAAAATTCATTATGTTACATCTCCCTACGTAGTACCTATGCAGAAGTCACAACTATCAGTATTGGCGTCAGACAGTCTAGATGTGTTTTTGCTAATAAAATTTGATAAATTATTCATTTTTTTCCCACACTTAAAAAATACATCAGCGCAATCACTTACAACTACAAGTGACTTTCAATGAATTCGTTACAGTAGGTGTTTTTTTGGTGGGGGGGGTAGGGGTGAAAGAGAGATAAATGGCACTGGGCACAATACTTTGCCATATTTCAGCCTCTATATAGGAAAGTTCAAAGAGGTGCTTGGAAATAAAAGGGTTTTTTGTTTGTGTTTGTTTATTTTTTTAAAATACGCAATTCCACATTGTACTAGTCAATACCACCACAATGTGAGGGTTCATCCTTCAAAAACTATCTTGAGGAAAGAAAATCTATATACATTCCAACAAACGAGGTTTACCTGTGAAAGAATTCCATACTACTGTAAGTATTCACACACCATTTCATAGAAGTATAGAGAATACCTGAAGCCCTTCCTTCCTAACTGAATCAGTCAACCAAATCAAAAGACCTTCATAGAACACAGGGCATGAGCACAATGCTCCAACACCACTTCTCCCTCCAGTAGCATTGGTGAGAAACTTAGCACGTAGCAATTGGTAACTAAAACTGGAAAGAGCACAGCTAACAGAGGGAAGTGCAAGTTCTCATTATCAATATCTATAAATAATATTGAAACCATTATCTAGCTAGGCCATTGCTCCCACTGTAGAAGTTTAGCATTAAACTTTCTTATAAAAATGTTTCACATATACTATGGCATACACAGACTTGATTTGATTAAATAAGAGAAACAATCAAGTAAAGTGGCTGCACTTTACAAACATTTTGTGGTTGTTTATGGAGGCTATGCTGCACCCTGCTGGTTAAAAATACTACCAGTTTATACTTTGAGCAACAAGATCACTGTTAAATTATACTGAGCTCTTTTGCAGATTGAATCAAAGTGTAAGTTTCTGGTTTTGGCAGATCAAACTGCCCTAATATCTCTGGAATCAATTTCACAGTAACAAAATCTCCTGTGGAGGTTAGGGAAGACTGAAAGGAGCCACCAGTCAGCAACTTCTTGCCAAAAATATATATCTTGATAGGTCTAATTTTGTTTTCCTTTCTGGAGTAACTCAAGGGAGTTGTATATGATGATGCTTTCCCTTAACAGACAGCTAACAGCCAGCAAACCAGACAGCAGAATAGTAATACATCATCTGAACAAATGAAGTAATGATAGAAAGCTATCCAAATCCACTTATATTAGTGTAAGATAGTGACCAACACCTAAAGACAGTCAAGAATGGAATGAAGTGACATATCTGTTACCTGTGACCAAGAAAAGAAAAAAAGTGGGGAATCCTAGAATTTCATCTTCACAGAAGAAAACTTCCAATTAACTTTAGAGGTTACTGTTCAACAGCACAAGGCTATCATGATCTTATGAGTAAATTCTGAAAAAATCTTTCACATACTTAACTGAGCGCATCAGACACTGGACTAAGCACTTAAAAATTTTGTGCTGCATCCAATATCATTCCCATCACTAGTTGATTACTGCATGAACAATTTTTGCCACATACCTGTATATTTGACCAGCGTTCGACCTGTGGATATCTCCCATAGTTTAGCTACAGAATCTTTTCCACTTGACAGGATGTACTTTGAATTTTTGGAAAAGATGGCAGAACAGACTTCAGCCCCATCATGTGCCTTCTCAAAAGTAGTGATACATCGATTTGAAACACCATCCCATAATTTGATGCATCCATCCTTGCTTCCCGTCACATACATGTTAGCACTTGCATTATAGTTTACTGAACATATAGCATCGGTGTGTTGATCTTGAGGATTGCAAGACACAAAACACTGGAATGTATTGATATCATAAAGCCGTAAGGTAGGGTGCTGGGTACCAACAAGTATGAAGTCACCAGAAGGATGAAAAGAGATGGAGCGTAACATTTCTGCTTCCTGTGTGATGAGAAATATATAAATCAATATTAATATAAAGAACCTATTTGCAGAGAGAAAATCCTGGTGGATTCACAAGTCTGAAGTTCTAGGATATTTTCATCTTTAAAAAAAAAAGTAAGTTCAATTCTTAATTAGTATAGGGTTTAGGGCAGGATATAAATTGGAGAACACCATTCCCCTCTCCACTATATTGCAGTAACATATTTAGATCGATCAGGATTACACTTGAAGGAGTTCTCACAACAAATTTTTTGTTGGCCTCAAAGTGCGGCCCCCAACTCTATACATGTCCAAATCACTGTAATTTATTTATGAAGCATTTTTTTGCAGACTCAATATTAAAAATAATGTACAGTTGTCTCTATTCTTTACTGGACCTAAACAGAACAGAAACACAAATAAGGTGCTTTGAACTTTTTTTTTTATCCCAAAAAGCAAAAGAAACAACAAGAAAAAAAGACAGACTTGCTAGAGAGTGTTTGTTAGCACTTTTCACAGCAGACTTACTCAGTCCCGGCAAACCTGGGGACACACTAAGCCCTGGATGGGGAGGTGGGTAGGGAGAGGGATGATGAGTTCAGGGACAGAGCCCACCACAACCACGCGGCCAGAGAACAAAGCTTTAAGCCCCATGACTGGAGCCCAACGACACTGCCTCCGGGGAAGGTGAGACAATCACTGGCTGCCTGCTCCTCTGTTTTGTGTATGAGCTACAGCTCGCTCAAATAAATTGGTTAGTCTCTAAGGTGCCACAAGTACTCCTTTTCTTTTTGCGAATACAGACTAACACGGCTGTTCCTCTGAAATCTGTTTTGTGTGTCTCCAGAGGAGGGCAGGGCCCAACCACTACTGATCGCCTCGGAGGAGGGGCTGATGCTTTGCGCCCCCCCATGACTGCCCAGAGGGCTGTGGCCACAAGGAAAGCCCCTGGTGGCCGCATTTGAGAAACACTGCTCTACGTCCTATATCAATTTTCAAAGCCAATTCATGGGGCAAGGGGGAGAGAGGAGCAAATTTTCCCCTCAACAACCAAAAAGAAATCCATAGAACTTCAATACTATTCATAAAGGAAATGCCAGAAACACCACTCCTAACAGATTCAGGTTTCCCCGGTGGACAGAGAGAGAGAGAAGAGTGGACATTTTATGTACCTAATTTGTATGCATAATCATCACAAGAGTATCTGCAAATTGGATAATAGCATACTCCTGTGTATCTAGCTATTTCTGCATGCAGACACAAATTAGCTAATTGCTATCATGGTAGTTGTAGACCTCAAACTTTTTTTTTTTTTTAAAAGACTATAACCTCTAACCTGGATATACTTGAAGGCTCTTTTGGCAGAAGGTTTTGAATAGTCAAACAATTTAAGCGTATAGTCCCTTGAACCAGATGCCAGGATCTGTTCTGTTGGATGGAAAGCTAAACATGTAACCTCATCCACATGATCATATAGCGTCCGAATAACAGGATGATTTTCCATGTTCTGCTGTGCTGTCTCATTCATCATGACCTATAGAAAACATTTAAAACAAGTCAATGGAGAGTGTTTCCTTCTTACAAAGAACGAACCATAAACCACTATCCAACTCTTGTGTTATTACTCTGGGGCATTTAAAAGATAGGTACAAAAAACACGTGGGATCTCCTGGTAGAAGAGAAAAAGTGAGTTTTAAACATGCATCAATGCCTGCCTCATCTTCCAAACAAAGATTGTATTTTTTGATGAAAATCTATGCATATACTTAGAATGATAATCTCAAAGTTCTTTGCAAATATTGGTCATTAACACCCCCATGATAAGTATACAATATTCTTCTTTTACAGAGAAGCAAACAGAAACTGACAGAGGTTAGTGATTTGCCCAAAGTCAAAATGGAGTCGACAGCAGAAAAAAATAACACTCAGTGGTCCTGAGTGTTAGCCCCTTGCTCTAACTCACAATACTACTAAAACAAATGTTGCACTTATTTTGTTTCCGGCAACATTCTTAAGACTGTGCACTACCACTAGCTGTATGCAGATTCCAGACAACAACAAAAAGGTACTTTTCCTTAAGTATGCTATCAGAGGCAGAACAAATGCTATTAAATGGATGTAGCATTTTTATCATTCACTGACTGATCATGATTCATGTGATACTTTACCTCGATGGGCATAGCACTTTTTGCCAACATTCTCTCTGTATCAAGAATTTTTATTGAGGCATCAGCAGATCCTGTAGCTATTAACTGCCCATCTCTGCTATATGTAGCTACGCGACATGGTCCTTTATGAGATGTGACGTAACAGGTCTCATATTCAGAAGCCTCGGGGGACATAGTCTGGACATCTGCATCAAATTCTAAGTCAATCCCTGTTCCTGGTGCTACTGTATCGGAGCGTCCAATTGCATACTGAACTGCGCTGTCATCGTTCTCCATTCCTGAAGGATGAGAGATTAAATATATTTACTTTCTCCACAAAAAGGTTGACGAAGTCTTCATAAGTATACTAGTAACTGCTTAGAATAGCCACGATTGTATCTACAGCCAGCTTTCACAGGAAATAGTAATGCCTGCATAGAAAAAAAATATTTTTTTAAAAAGGACAGCTATTTACAGAACTTTTTCCTTTGCAGCTCAGTAAAGAATACCCAAGAAAAAAGATTATGGCTACCATAATCACCACAATGAAGCAGTGCCAGTAAAGGTCCCTGGTCCATGACTAGAGCTCCTAGGTACTACAGTAATTCAAGTAAGAATAATGAGAACCATTATTCCTCCATACACTTATATCTCATATTTAACACCTTCTTCTCTTAGTGGACGTTGCAGCTTAAGCAGGTACAAGCTCAACATTTTAACCACATCATTAACTCTAGTCTGAACAGAGGTAAATGGTGTTCCTCGTCTATGTCATCTAACCCTGTTCAGAGTAGTGTTGGATGACATGGTGTTGAAAATGCTTGCTGTTACCATCAGTAGTAAATTAGAGATACTAATTTTCCTAGTTTAGATAGATCTAAAGCTTACTATATTTATACTCTCAGAGATGTGTGAAACACTATTTCAATTTGCTATGCACCCTGCTATTACATTATTCAAGTAGATTTTCAAAGAGATCATGATGAAAGATAGCTATACTAAGACCTCAATTACCTTAACACTGAAACGTGTAAAGTTAAATGCTGCATTTCAGAGCTCCTTGTAGTTACTGTCATTAGTTTTGTCTGAGCCAAAGAAAAGCTAGTTGACATGCCGAGATTCAAATCAAGACGTTACACAAAATAATATAAGAAGGCAGTTTGATCCTTTGTTGTGATTTCCTAGCCCTTGAGGACTGTTACAGCTTACAATGCTTTAAATAGTCGTTAAATAATTTTACTCATTTGGTAGTAAATTTTGCAGCACAGTTTTTTGCCAGTATAAAAATTTTCTCCCCAGTATAAAATTATTTCTGCTCCATGGAAAAATCAGGAGTATTTTCAGTAAACAGGATACTTTTAGTCTCTGTCACTTTAACAATAAAGTGCCTCCAACACTAATACTGCAACACACACACACAAACCAGACTAGTGACAGATCTAAGCTTACTCTGAAGCTAAGCTACCACACTGCGACACAATACTTTTTGGTTTTAGCAGATGTCACTAACTTTTCCATTAGTATTCTTCTGCCTAACTCAGTTACAAGACTTTCCACAATATTTTGTTGGTATCTGTTGGTGAATAAAATTACCCTACCACACATTATTATTATTTATATTCCAGTAGCATACAGAAGTCCCAATGATGCATGCTAAGAGGCACTACACACACTAAGAGTCTATCATAGTAAGAGACAGTTCCTATCCCAAAGGCCTTATCATGTAAATATAAGAGAAACAAAAAGGTTGAGAAAACACAGATGTATAGAGTGGTGAAGTGACTTGACCAAGGTCACAAAGCAGAGACTAAAACCCAGGTCTGAGTCCAAGTCCAGTATCCTAGCCACTGGACTACACTGCTTCAGTTACACCTGTTTAGAAAGTAAACAACATTTAACAGAGATTTCCTATTAAGTTCCATCCTCCAATACATAGTGCATTCACCTGCTTAAAAGAGAAATATGTTTAGACTTACACCATCACCCAGACATTTGTCAGACAATAAAAAAACTGAATTCTCATCTGACACGTAATACCAGTGTCAGTAACAAACCTATTACTATATACCCTGAAAAACTTGGGACCTACCTGCCTCCTCAGCCCCCCCCCCCCCCCCCCAACATGAAAAAGTCCCTGTGACATGTGGCAACTGAACTGAAACCTCATAAGAGAGAGGGAGTGACTGGCAGAGCATTCTCTGTGAGGGTCCTGGAACTCTAAAACCCATTTCCTTTCTAGATCTGTAACAGTTTATTTACTTCTCTTCAAGACACAATGCAAGGCCCACCATTTCTCCTGTCTGCGAGGAGACTGGTCTTGAGTAGGTCTACTAGTGTTGATGTGCGATTTGATGGGTCAGTTAGTTTCTATTATATTTATGGATTATTTGATTTTATCTAGGAGATCTAATAGCCCCATTTATTCCATGTACTTTTAGAAGACTGTCGAGGATCCAGGGCATTGGATAGGCACTATTATAATTTGAAAAAGTACAAATAAATAAGTAGATCCTAGAAAAGAGTTATTGAAAGACTTGTATTTTGTTATCAAAGCATAAATATGACAACTGTACAGCAACATTAGTAGTTATCGTTATATAAGTGAATGAGAACATCTACTTTTAGATTGCACTGAGTCCACTACAGAATCACAGAGATGTAGGGCTGGAAGGGACCTCTAAAAGTCATCAAATCCAGCCCGTGCTGAGTCAGGACCTACATACCTGAACTTCATCAAAAAAGTCTGCAATTCCTAGTTTACGTACATGAATCCTGCATTACAGTTTACCTAGTTTAATCAGATGCAGCAGTTGTTCAGATGGTGCGCAGACTGATTGTGGTTTTATCTCATTTATCAGGCCATTGGCAATGTTTATGTATCCATCATACAGCAATTGACTAATAATCAGTTTGTAAAGTTGCTGACGATCTTTCAAGCTTACTTTTGTTCTATACATTGTGAGCAAGGAATGCCTTGCGGGTGCCTGAAACAAGAGAAAAAAATACTTACAAAACAGTTACATTGCAATGGTGTAATTTTTCAAACAGAACATATCTTAACACCTTTCAACACTAAATTAAAAAGGTATTGTATACGTAAAAGAAAGATTTTCAGCTAAGATTCAAAACTAGATGGACAAATGAAAAGAGATAACAGAAAGCTGTTGCAGACAGTAGCAACTACAGAGGAGACAGACCACCAGTTACCAGCACTCAGACTGTGATTAAGGACTGCTACAAAGGTGAGAGAAAAGCAACACTGGCTAGCAATGTTTGCCTCCTGACAGTAACCTTTCTTTAATTCTATCAAGCAGGTGTGGGGAAATGGGCACACAGTTGTGAAGGACAATGTTAACACACACAATTTGTAGGGAAGCCAAGAGGCAAAACAAAACGTGTATTGTATGTTTTTCAGTGAAGCCACCAGATGAAAAACCATAACCTCCCTGCACCCAACACACCACCCCTCCCCCAATCCATCCATTTCCAGCCCCAAAGAACAATCGATTGTTATAAACGGGGAGGGGTGAAAGCAAACTCAGGGGCGGGGGAAGAAACTGTCTGGAACGAGAGTGAACTGCCAGCGTTTCCTTGGGACCGCGGGCTAGAGGAAACGGCCTTCGGCAGGCAAGCAGAGCTGTAAGCCGCTCAGCTCAGCAGGGCATGTAGGAAAGGAGTTGTTCACACCGCCCCGGCACCTACCAGCCCGTCTTTCTGCCTCCCTTGCTCTCCCCCTAAAATGGCGACTGGAGCCCTGAGAACATCGATAGATGCCGGAGGCGGCGGCTAAGTGTATCCCAATCACTCCCCAGCGCAATGTGCAGCTTTGCGCTACTGAGCATGCTCGTGGACAGTGAACATGCTCACGCACATCTGCTCCTGAAGCCCGCCTGCTTCCCTAACTAGGATTATACAACGTCCTGCTGTTCCCGCAGCCGCGTTACAAGGAGACGGGACAAATCGGAGAGGTGGGATCTTACCTGCAGTGCAGGGATCCAGACTGCACGCCCAAGGAAATCATGCAGCTAGTGGAGGCAGGCGAAGGAGAGGGGCAAAATCAGGCATAGGGAATAGGGGCCGGGGTTAAGAGCCTCTGCCAGACAACGGGGGGAAAAGGGGGAAACTAGACACATAGAGAGTTTACTAGAAGTGGGGCGAGCTGTCTGCGTGGGTTGCAAAAATAAGCTGTGCGTGGCAAGAAGACTATTGTTTACACTGCTTAGCAAAGGGGTATCTCACGGTCCGCTTACCAGGGCTGTTTTTAAAGGCATAGAGCATCTCAATGCCTAGAAAAGGCACCTCTTCCTTATCTGAAACGATGTACTGAGCAGCTAAAGAAGACTGAATACAGTGAAACACAAACAGCATTCCTATACATGCTTTTAGTATTTTAACGAATTCCTTTTCTGTCTGTCTATGTCTGCATAAAGCCTCAGAGCAGTTCACTAATTTGTCTTATCTACTGTTCCAGTCCCTGAATCAGATTCCATTTCTTGTAATCCACTGTCAAAGCTGTTTCCTGCCTTTTCATTATTTACTTTTTAAAATTGTTTTTATTACTCTTATCTTACACTTCATTTATATTAACATTGTGCAAACAGATGCCATTGCACTATTTAATTTATATTTTAATAGCAAGCAACTGAAAATATTAATAGTTGCTAGAGGTTAACAATCACATCTCACATTGTTTCTAGTAGAACACTTCATATGTTTTTACTGTGATTTTGCAGTTTGCAATTTTTAATTTTTATTTGCACAAGTGTTTTGTTTCGTTTTTTAAATCAAATGACTTTAAGGCTGGCATCAAAACTTCTTTAGTTTCCCTTTCCTTTCTTTGATTGGCTTGAAATTGTGCCTCCTGGGCACTGACCTAAATTTGGGGCTATCTGAACAAGGGGTTCATGAGATACAGTACCTGCTCCTCCCCCACCTCCCCACTTTTCTTAATATTCACATGTTCTGGTAGTGAATGTTTGATCACAGATTGAGACCTGGTTTGATCTCTGAGATCATCACACCAGGGTCTCAAATGTTTGAGAGCCACCTCAATGGAGTGTATGGTATCATACACTATATCCTTTTGGGGGAAATCAAATTACATTAGCAGCCAAGAACTTTAATTCTCCTGTTAGGAGCACCACTCTTTAAAGTGCTTGATAACATGCCACATGGATTATACTGAGCCTGCACAGAGAGAGAAGATAGCTGGAAACGACCTCTGCATCACACATCTTGAATGGCTCAAGGGGGGACTGTTATGATCACCAAACCTAAGCCACAGCCTGTTGGCAAATCCAGCCCAGGACAGAAATCCTAAATAAAAGCAGGAGATACAGTTTGCTCCAATCTGCCTCTGTCAAAGGGAGTTTTGGTTTTGTGGAAATGTAATCTAAGTACAGCAGAATATTCTGAAAGTGCTGAAACTTTTTTAAAAAAAAGGAGAAAAAATTACACATGCAACTGCTCCCTGGAACGTGACTGGGGTGGAAGAGTAGGTGGGAACGGGGGTGGTGGTCTTAGAGCAAGGGAGGGGGATATATGGGACTGGGTGGGAAGGAGAGGGGTTGAGAGGGTTAGGTGATGGGGAGGGACACTGGAAAGATGGGACATGGAGTTATTGGGGGCTGGTAGAATAGGCAGACAGGGCACCTCTCCTTTCCCATGTACATGCCACAATCTAGAGCAGGGGTTCTCAAACTGGGGGTCAGGACCCCAAAGGGGGTCGGCAAGGTTATTACATGGGGGGTCGCGAGCTGTCAGCCTCCACCCCAAACCCCGCTTTGCCTCCAGCATTTATAATGGTGTTAAATATATTAAAAAGTGGTTTTAATTTATAAGGACGAGCACACTCAGAGGCTTGCTATGTGAAAGGGATCACCAGTACAAAAGTTTGAGAAACACTGATCTAGAGGGTCCAGCCCATCTAGAGAGGTGTGGACACCCCCATGCAATATGTGGTGACCTGCCTTCCAGGGGGTCTGAGCCCCCCCAGTGGTGTGTCTGGCCACTGTGTCTGTATCAGGATCTTAGGAGTCCCCGCCCATCTATGGTGGTTAAGGCCCTCCCATACATGCCCCCCTCATGTGAGCCAAGTTCTGGAAGGGATTTGTTTGTGTAGGGTGGGGAGGAGTGTCTCACCCCATCTCCCTACACCTCATGCGAGTTAGGAGATGACTTTTTAGATGATATTTATATTCATAGTTAACATGCAGTATTAGTGGGATGCTATTTTCAATAAATGTGATTTAACAACAAGATCGGATTAATTTCCTGATAGCTAAAGATAAAAATGGAAACAGCACATATTTGTGCTCACTATTAAAAAGGGTGGACACTGAATTGGTAGGAATTGAGCATGTGACTGTTTCGCTCAGCTTGGGCTCAAAACACTAATATTTAGCATGAGTATGAAGGGCTTATCAATGGCGCAATAATAGCAAATATAGCCCAAGACTCTGGCAGGTGGTATATGCATACCTTAATATGAAACCGTATGTGTGCGCATGTACCGATTCCAAGCATTTATTAAATAAAAAAAGTAAACCATTACTAAATATTGAGAGTGACTTTATGAAAGCATGAAATACAATTATGAAGTCAGCTATTGGCTATTCATTTTAAAGTACAGATTCTTCCTCCACTGAGAAACTGAAAAATCTACTATGTGACTCTGGAAAACAGAAATCGTGGAACACAAGATACTAGACGTTGGGCACACTGTTAGACCATCCATCCTAAAAGTGGTTAATGTCAAATTTTGACTACTTCTTAGTTATGATGAGTTTTCTATTTTAAAAATGCATAAGATTGTAGAACTAATGTGGAAGCCACACAAGATATCCTATGTATATACAGGAGAAAAACAGCAATTCTCTGAATGGAAAAAATCAGGTATAGCTTTGTTATATATTCCTAGTGAAGTCAGAGTATACGGGAAGGTAAATAGGAAGAATAGAATGTCATCATAGTTATTTTAATAAATGTACTAAAATGTGTCACAAATTTGTCACCCTAATGAAAGAAACTGGGTTCTCTGTATGAATATTGTGTTTAATTAGTGAAAAATAAAAAATGGTTGAAACCAAAAGAGCACTGAAATACAGTAGGATATAGTTATATCTACAAATTAACAGTTTAAGAGAAATAGATGAGGGTACCAAATATTATTTAAATATGACCCCCCGCACCTGAAAGGAAAATATTTGCAAATCATTACTGTAGTTCTTGAAATAAGTGACATTTATTAATGAATCTATTTCTATTTATAGTTTCCGTAATTAGGAAATCATTTGATTAAATTATATTGATTTTGCAGAGAGCACAAAAGTCTACTGCTGCAACCCTGTCATATGCAAGAAAGAAAACAAAGATTGCATAATGCTAAGAAACTCAGAAGTGTATTAGAAACACATGCCATATGTTTGAGCAAGTAGGTAAACAGAATAGGATAGGTTTCAGAGTAACAGCCTGTTAGTCTGTATTTGCAAAAAGAAAAGGAGTACTTGGGGCACCTTAGAGGCTAACCAATTTATTTGAGCATAAGCTTTCGTGAGCTACAGCTCACTTCATTGTGTTGCATCCGATGAAGTGAGCTGTAGCTCACGAAAGCTTATGCTCAAATAAATTGGTTAGCCTCTAAGGTGCCCCAAGTACTCCTTTTCTTTTTGCAGAATAGGATAGTTCATTGCACAAGAACAGAAGTTATGGCCCAGTATCTAGGCAGTTACATATAGCGCAGATGGAATAACCTGGATAAGGGTCAGGATTGTGGTAATAATTCCAAATTAATAAAAACTTTAACTGATATGTAACTAGAAAGTTAAAAATCACAGCAGAAGTTCAATAAATATTTTATAATTTTGAGTTAATTGAAATTATATTTTGCACAATTAGTGTAGTCATTTTTTCCATCTTTTTTTCCCCGAAAGGCACAGTGTGACTCCTGTAGGATGTGGGCAACATGTGCTCTGCCTTCCACAGGGAACCAGTGAAAACATCCTGAGCAGTAAAAAAGAAACGTATACAAACTTTGTGCAATTATAGTTGTGATGTTTACAAAATGTGTCTACTGTATAACCAAAATATTTACCTTTTAAAAAGTTTTCTTGCAATTATACAATCAAAATACAAATAATAATAGAGAAATTCAATTTTAATGTACACTTAGCTAAAGTCACAAAAATAAGTGTTAATTCTGTTTTTAAAAATAAGTTTAGATACTTTTTAAAATGTTGACATGTAAAGTAAGCGATTCTTGTTTGCCTTGCTGACAGCAAATTATGACAGATGGGGCACTGCCATCACAATTGGTTAACTCTATTCTTCCCATCCCCTGGTCAAGGGGCAGCAAATTGTGATGGGAGTTCTTCCCCTCAGTCAGAATATGCCACTTTAGACCAGGAGACAGGGAAGCATAGAGACAGCAAATTGTGACAGTGCAATAACAGAATACCTAGATGTCAGTAAGGGCTATCAGCAGCAAATTGTGCCAGGAGCATGGGGAGTACATGCTAAACAACCAAGAGCTGGGTGACCTGGTGCATGTACACCACAAAAGCGTGAGCCTGGGAGCATGTACAGACCCTTGGCAAACGCCTACTTTTTGTGGGGAGGAAAGGGGACTGTAGGGTGGGACTAGGAGCATGGAAAGGCAGATTCTATTCCCGGTCTGGAAGCGCAGGAAGTTCTAATGATAACACCAGTCTAGTTCAGGAGAGCACAATTCATTTATTTCCAGCTCTAGCAGAAATAAGACCTAATGGTTAGCTCAGAGCATGGTAAACTGAGAAATGATAAAGAGGCTACAGAGATCAATGGCAGTATTCATTGGGAGGGGCCTGGAAAGGGGTTAGGGATTGAGCAGCCTAATAAGATCTGTAATTGAAATTCAGAACTCCTGGTTTCAATTCCTTTGATGGAGTGAGAGCAGTGGGATCTCAGGAGACTGGGGATTGGGACTGCTGGGTTCTACATCCCAAGCCTCGCTGGAAGCAAATGGAACTGAAAGTCACCAGGCCCCACTGCTGGGTGCTTCAGACCTCTGGGATGACTCCAGAATTTAGGAGACAACATGGTGGCACACTCAGACAAGGCACTTCAGGGTGCCTCAGCAGCAGTGCTGAAGGCCTGTCCCAAGAGAACAGACCCGCCCACCCCACCCCCGCAGAAACGGCCCTACTCACCTCAGCCTCAAGGAAAGGCAGCCGCAGTGGCCGTGGCTCAGGAGCGGGGGAGACCACGTTACTCAGGCCCCGTGGAAGCGGACGTCTATCACACGCTGAGGGAACACGACGGCCTGACATCCTCCTCACACCTGTCCTCGCTGCCATCTATCACACGTCACCGCCACGCAGCCCCACACGCCGAGACCACTTCCACACTCGTCCCCACCAGCACGGTGGCAACGGGAGATGCCGCCTAGCTCACGCCTTCAAAGGCCTCAAGCCGTCCTCACGCCGGGCCCGGCGGTCACACAATCACACACACAATGGCTCGAGAGCCCCTTCACGGTTGTGCGTTGCGGCCCAGGTCCAACGGGAGCCAGCAGGCGACACGCCCGGCTGCTAGTGCAACAGAACGGCCCGGTGCCCCCCTCCCGCGTGCCCTCGAGCGCCCAAAGCCCCGCTGGTGCGACACGCTGGCCCTGCGCTCGACCGCCCGCTGTCCGTGGGCCCTGTCACTGACCACACGTCACCGCTGCTGCGACACGCTGGCCACGGTCCCACTCACGTTGGTGCTCGAGAGCCACAGCCCGGAGCAACGGCCGCGGATCACACGTCACCAACCGCCGGGGCGACCCGCTCGCCAGGGCCCCGCTCGTGAGGCAAGAGCCCAGCCACCCTTCTCCGCCTGAAGCTAGGGACGAGCAGCTTCTAAGGCAGCCCCCCCGAAGTCCTTCCCGTCCCTACCCCCCAGGCTCTGTGCGCACTCTCTGCGCCAGATCTTAATGGCCGGCGGTGAGGAACAAGAATGCCTGTTGATTGGCCTCTCATCCGCGGCGCCGCCCGCCGATTGGTTCCTAACTGTTCCTCTGGTTGCCGAGCGAGCCTCTGAACGTGACGGGCACGACTCGGGAGCATGCGTGACCGCTGCCCGCCGCGCCCTCCCGCCCTTAGCGTCGCGTTAACGCCGCTACGTGCGTTCTTTTCGCATCATCTCGCTCTTGTTTCCTCCCTACACTAAGTACGTAGACCGACGCGACAGTTACGGACTTTCCTCTTTTCTGCTTGGTCGGTCTTTCATTACGCAAAATCGCGTAACTCCAGGCCGCCCACCTGTGGCAGCGCAGTTATCATAAACGGATTTGGGCTTGTGATTTTCCCCAACTAGGATTTATTTGGGGGAGGGGGCGGCTTCTTTTAAAATGGTTGCTTCCGACTAACTCTCAGCCCGAACCGACAACCATTTTAAAAGAAGCCCCACCCCCCTCGGCGTGAGCGTGATCACGCAAGCACGTCGCATCCCCGCCTTCCGCTTCGGTTCGTCAAAAAAGGCCGCTGATCTTGTCACGTGGACTCAGGAGGCCAATCATCTGCCTCTATTTTAAAAAACTCAGCAGATTATAGTAACTGGCTGCATTCCTTGTCACGTGGCCTCGAGAGGCCAATCCTGGGCCTCCGCGGGCGGGCGCCTGAAAAGAAATCAAATCATCACCGGCAGATCGTTTAATTATCTGTTGTAAGGTATCGCTTGCCCCTAGTACGGTGCGGGGGGGGAGACGTGTACCAGTTACAGGCTGTGAGAGTCCAGGACCCCCCCCCCCCCCCGCAGGTGAGTGACTGGCGGTCACACGCCTCATCCGTGCCGCGGCGGCATCGCTGGGTGCTGGAAGTGGGGTGCAGCGGGTCGCCGCGTTTTGTGTCCCGGCAACACTGGGGGCGCGGGTGAGGCTCGGGGGGCAGAGGCGGGGCTCGGGAGGGGCTAATGGAGAGCGGCGGCGGTTTAAAGGGTAGCCCAGGAGGGCGGTTTGAATTCAAACAGCTCGGGCGGTCGGGGCCAGCGGGGCGGTGGCGACGGTGAGGGGAGCACGGGGCTGTGGGGGATCTGGGAAGGGGGCCGCCTCGGGGCTGAGGAGGGGGGGCGTGAGGCGCGGAGTAGGGAATGGAGAGGCTGGTGGGAACGGGGCGTGGGGAGTTGCAGCGGGGCGGCTTCACGGGTGGGGAGCGCGCGGGCGGGCTCCCTCAGGAGCCGGTGGGGAGCGCGTGCGGGGGAGGTGCAGCAGGCAGGGGCTTCATGGGGGTGCGGGGCGCAGCCGGCGGGGAAGTAGGAGACCTGTGCAGTTGCGTTTGTGAGCGGGAGCCGCATGGAGCTGGAGGTGAAGCGTTGTAATGGGGAGAGGGTTGCAGGGGGAGCTGGGTTTGAGGGGTATGATGTGTGTCGCTTACAGTGCCAGGGGATTGTACTGGGGGAGACTGTAAAGGATACCGGGTTCCGAGACTCGGATTTTTCGGGCCAGTAGGAACCATTACGATCCTGACTGACGGTAGTGGGAGGAGATTGTGCAGGACCAGATGTGGGAGTGGGAAGACTACATCTGTGGGTGGTGTGGGGGTTTCATTGGGGAGGGGCATTGAAGGTATGAAAACTGCAGCGGGGTGTGGGTTGATATAGGGTGTGGATGAAGAAAGCAGAGTGTGAGGGTTGGGGGTATGAGGAGGACGTGCAAGGGGTGATGAGGAGAAGGGTGCTCTGTATGGAAGATATTTCTAGTTAATGTCCCTGCATGAGACAGCTTTGCAATTAAATGTTCTCTATTTAGGCAATATGGAGAAAAATAGTAAAGAGAACCACAATGGGCTCCCTGGTCACAGTGTCAAGGTAAAGTGGTCTTGCACACTTACTAGGCAAATGCATTTTACTTGGCTTGATCATACGAGGACTGTAAGCCTCTATTTGTTCACTCCACAAATTATCTGTGATAATTATCTCTGACTCTTCATCAAATAGGTTCTGCTTTTTTTCGTAAAGACACAGGGAATATTCTCCAAGCTACTCTCAGTAGCTCACTGCTGTGGAGACTTAGCCACCTGGAATACAACTTCTACAGACTGCTTCTGCATGGTGTTAGTGTTAAAATGTTTTCTTGTGGGGTGGCAGCCATTTCTTGTGATATGGGTCTTTAAATATCTAAGACTGTGATCATCATGCTGGGATGTATTCTTAGGAATGTTGCAAGCAAGACACAAGAAGTAATTCTTCCATTTAGCATTGATAAGGCCTCAGCTGGAGTATTGTGTTCAGTTCTGGGCATCATACTTTGGGAAAGATGTGGACAAATCGGAGAAAGTCCAGTGGAGAGCAACAAAAATGGTTAAAGGTATAGAAAATAGACCTGTGAGGAAAGAATTGAAAAAATTGGACTGTTTCCTCTAGAGAAGAGAAGCAGATCTAAGCCTTCAAGTGTGTAAAAGGTAGTTAGAATGAGGAGGGTGATAAATTGTTCTCTTTATCCCCTGAGGACAGGACAAGAAGTAATGGGCTTAAATTGAAGCAGGGGAGATTTAGGTTAGATATTAGAAAAACCCTTCCTAACTGTAAGGGTAGTTAAACACTGGAACAAATTGCTTAGGGCGGTTGTGGATTCTCTGTCGGGTTTTTAAGAACAAGAATTCCTGTCAGGGTGGTCTAGATAATACCTAGGGCATGTCTACAGTATGAAATTAAGTCGACTCAAGTTAAATCAATGTACAGCCACTGCAGTAATTAAAGCAGTGTTTCATGTCCACATTATAGTCCTGTCCGCAGTGCACGTCCTCACCGGGAGTGCTTTCCACCGACTTAACTGCATGCGCATTATGGCACACTGACAGCCGGGCCCCTCGGCGATGTAAGTAACGCTGTGTCTACACGGACACTGCGTCGACCTAACTTCATCGATCTAAACGCTACACCTCTCATGGAGGTGGAGTTATTAAGTCGATGTATTGGGCAACTTACATCAGTGGAAACTACCTTTTAGTGTAGATGCTTACAGAGTTAGGTTGACATGAGCTGCCTTATGTCGACCTAACTCTAGTGTAGACCAGGCCTTAGTCCTGCCTTGGTGCAGGGGACTATCAACATTCCTATCAGTCTTGACATTTCTATGATTTTATGATATCCTCCTTTCTGTCTGATTTACTTTTTTTTAACTCTTAATGGGTATATTAATTGAGTGTAATGGAGCTAATTAGCTCATACACAGGTAGGAAAAAACACTTGCCTGCCTGTAATAATAAATGGACAGGCCCAAGGAATAAACTACAGGAAAAGCAGAACTTCTAGTATGTTGTACTTGCCTCTACTGTAATTAAATGTGTTGGGTTTTTTAGACTCTACCCACCATTGGGGATGGTCCAAAACGGCTCCCTGTGCATCAGCAGCATCCTCAGAATCGGATACCTGGAGGTGGAGTCCAAGCACAGCGTATTTTGTGTCCTTCAAATTTGGCTCAGCGAGTTCCTGTACAGTCACAGGCTCAAAAATCTGTGCTGTCAAACCAGAAACAGTCTCAAAACCAGCTGATGCAACAGCCTCGACCAACTTTTCTAGTTCAACCAAATTCTAGGCCTCAGGCTCCAAGTAAAAACAATGAGGAACCTCCACAGGCTTCACTATCTGGTAAATATAACTGTAAATAAATGTTTCATTTTCAATAATATGCAGTCAACTTCAGCATATTAACTAAATTGGCATGTATTCTTGCTGCATGCATAAGAGATTTGTCTAGTTTCACCTTGAACCATAATTCTTTTCTATTATTTTTATTATCATAGCACCTATGAGTCCTAATTATGGACCAGGACTCGGCTGGGTAAGGTGCTGTGCAAGCATAGAACAAAAAGACAGTCCCTGCCCAAAATACCGTACAATCCACAAGAGAATGCTTTACTAATGGGAAGACAAGTTAGAAGGGTAGTTCAGACTTGTACAGAGAGTTTTCCTGTATTAAAAAAATCCCTTGTAGTTGTGATTTACTAGCTAGTGTGATGCTGCTTGCTCTTTCATAGGCCAGATTAGTAGCTTATTCATATGAGACTAAGATAGTGGTCACTGATGCTCAGATACCATGGTAATGGTTGCAATAGGAGAAACTAAATAGGTTCAGGCTGTCCATGGAGTCCGAGCCTGACTTGTATGCAAAACTTGGGAACTAGGTTGAGAAAAATCATTTTGGAAGCAGACAGTGGTGTTTATGAACTATAGTTATGAAGTGTTCAATTCTCTTTATGTGCAGCAAAAAGCCTTGAAGCAGAAGGGACATCTGTCCAGAAAAATGAAGAAACTAAAAAGTAAGTCCATGGGTATGCTGCCATTGATGTCTGTTGGGGCCAGGGTCTCTTTGTATTTAGGACTAAATAATGTAGCAATTTGGATGCAAAGTATTTTGTGACTTAACCACAACTATTGGTTTTGAGCCTGTTTATTATCAGAAATGCTGTCTCTGCATTTGTAAATACCACAAAATATTTTGGAGCTATGAATATGAGATACTTTCATGAAGTTCTAGGAAATCTTTAATCTGTTTCATGACCTGATAACCTTCAAGAGCAAAGGCTTTCATAGCTTGTTTAAAAAAGAAAAATCTGCATACTCTTTAGCCAAAAGAGAACTATATGCTTTTCATTTAAGAAGCTATTCTGAGTGAAGATTTTTTTTCTTGTATGGAAAACCTCAACTTAATGTTTTTTGTTTTTCCCATGAAGCTGGACAAAATTTTATATTTTGAAACTAAATGACAAATGCCTCTTTCCAGACTCTCAAATCTTCTGCACATATACATGAACATAGGAGGAAAATGTATTAATAGCATGTGCAAGACAGAGTTGTTATGGCTCAGCTCACAAGAGTATGCGCACTAAATTAGGTGCATGCACTCTGATATATCCAAACCACTGATCTGTGCACACCTTGATTTGTGTGCACAAATTGGACATTTGTGTCCAGGCATGCTTTTACCTTGGCACATTCAACCTGGCCATGTGCAAAATTCCCTGCACAACTGAAGATTTGGATCCAGAAATATGAAAAGAGAACTGACCCTTACATGTTGCATTCCTTTTCCCAAAGATAGGTTTTCATTTCTTGGGTGACTGGCCCTAGAAGGGGGGAATACTTGGGGCCAGTTAATTTGGTATAA